AGGGATTCAGGGTTGCGAGAAAAATATCTGAAATCAGTGTCCTCAATTCTAAAATAAATTGAGCTCGAAAGTCCGAAATGGAATAGAAACTATTGGGTCGACCATCGATGGAATACTTTTAGTTGTGCGAATTTCAACGCCTTTAACCAAGAAATGTAAAGTACTGTACTTAAAATGAGGTTTTGTTGTGATTTTGTAATTTTTATTTTTGTACTCATTTCATTTATTGTGCACAGATACAAGGCAGCCAAGTGTGGTTTGGTGATGGATCAGTGATTCATGGCTACGAGAAAATCATTAAAAATCACGAAAAAAAATAAGCTCGTACTGTAATTCCGGAAACTGAATGAAAAAGAACATGTGTTTTCCCCCTTCCGATTTTCTGATCTGGTCGACCATTGACGAAATAGTTATCCTAGTGCGAATTTTAACGCTTTTTTTTCTGACAAAAGAAAATTATTTGGAATGGGGTTCGTTGGAATTTCGTAATCTTGAATACCCATGTATTCAATTTTGCCAACAGATACAAGGCAGTCAAGTATGATTTGGCGATGATCAGTGATTCACGGCTGCGAGAAAATGATTCGGAATGAATACGTTCTTAATTTTGAAAAATGAGCTCAAATTCCGGAAGCTGAAGAAAAACTAAATTTTTTTCTTCGAGAGTTTCTTATCTGGTCAATTTTTGAAATAGTTGTACTAGGGCGAATTTTAACGCCTTTTATTTCTATTCTTTTTACAGAGAACCTTACTGTATTTGAAATTGGTTTTGTTGTGATTTTGTAATCTTCGTAGTGATTAATTTTTTGCCAACAGATACAATACAAGGCAAGCCAGTAACATTTAGTGATGATCAGTAATGCTAGCAGGGCTGCGAGGAAATGATTAAAAATCAATATCCTCAGTTTCGAAAAAAATAAGCTCGGAATTCCGGAAACTGAATGAAAACGAAATTTGTTTTCCCCCTTGAGAGTTTCTGATCTGGTCGACCATTGATGAAATATTTATCCTAGTGCGAACTTTAAAGCTTTGTTTTCTGACAAAAGAAACATTTAATATGGGGTTCGTTGTGATTTTTTAATCATTATTTTTATTTTTTGCCAACAGATACAAGACAGCCAAGTATGATTTGGTGATGATCAGCGATTCAGGGCTGCGAATGCGCGAGGACACCCTAACAGACATGGTGTCACACATGGGTGAGAAGGTCGGGCTTGTGCATCAAATGCCCTTCGTTTGCGACAGGGACGGATTTCCTAGTGTTCTTGAAAAGGTGTGTTCCTTTTATTTTAATCATCATTGAATATATTTTTTAATAAATGGAAATGCAGAATTATATGATGTGATTTGATAAATTATTCCCGAGAGGGTTGCGTAAGCAGCTTATAATTCCAAATCATGACCCGCAGCTGAATAAATATAGAACCCCTCGTGTTCCGGTCACAATTGATTTTTTTTTTTAATTTGTCCGGAAATCGGGGAAACATTTTCTGAGTAGATTTTAATGCGGAGAAATTCTGTACACATTGTATCAGTTGTTTCCGGAATTTTTTTTTCTTCAAAAAGTGTCTGGATCCTGCTACCCCAATTATTATTTTTTTAATTTCCAGAATTTGAATTTTCCGAATTTATGGGTCTCATTTTGTTTTTGTTTCATGTCTCTAACCTGAAAGGAATTTCTGTGGGGTTTGAGATGTGGATAAACCATTTTCACAGCTTGTTTTTTGTTCATTTACTCGTTAAATTAAATGGAATTAACGTCGATTGTCCATGAATAATTTGGATTTTAGTTTATTCACGACCGGTAAGCGGGGATTTCCGGTGCATTTGAACAAAAACGATTGAAGATTTCTAGAGCAATTGAAATGTTTGCAAGACAATTTTATTGCAAATTTTTCGACTCTTTTTGTGAAATCAAAATCGACTGTTCTGACGTTGTTTGTCGGTGAAATTTTTGGAATTTTGCTGGACGTGAGTTTACAACGTTTTCCTCCTGAATAACACGGTACAAGAAAGCATTGTTCGCCGTGTCTGAGACAATAAGCGTACTTTTTTGTTGATTCTTTTTACAAGTTTTCGCACTTTGCTTGCTAAAGTTAAATTTTTAGTGTGACATTAATTCTTAATTTTCATGAATTCCTTTCAAACTGCGTCGCCGGACCTTCTGAACTTGCGAGTGACTAATGGAAGATCATTTTAATCAATGCTCGTTGAATTTCCGATGACCTGGGAATTTGCTCCAATTTACCTGCATTGTTTTCCTGTAAGCAGTAAAAAAAATAGAAAATAAGAAAGTTTCTTGTCAGAATTCCGCAGTAAAGCCGCAGTCGATTACATGTAAGATCCCTCGTGTAATTTTCTCGTGAGAAGTAAAGGAAAAAATAAATGAGTCGATTCATTCGGAGGAATGTGGAAAGAAAGGGCACTGTACTGTACTTGTACTGTGGTGGATTCGGAAGTTAATTTGGAATTCCTGTCGGGAACCAGGTTTACTTCGGGACGTGCGTGGCGCGGATTTATTTGGCGGCGGATTTGCTGGGCATCAACTCCGTGACGGGCATGTCGTGCATTTTCCGCAAGTCAATCGTGGACGAACTCGGGGGATTGAAGGCGTTCGGCTGTTACCTGGCCGAGGACTATTTCCTGGGACTAGGCATTCAGAAGAAGGGGTTCAAGCTTCGGGTCACGTCGCAACCCGCGTGGCAGAACCCCGGGCCGAGTGATATTCCGTCGTTCCAGGCCCGGATACGAAGGCATGTGGTTTTTTTTTTCTCGCTTCATTCCTAATTATTTTTTTTTTCTTGTGTACAATGTTTTGTTTGGGCCATTGTGCGGGTTTTTTTGTTATTCTTTTGGTCTCCTCTTTTTTTTTCTTGACTTTTTTGTTGTTTGTTTGTTTGTTCGTGCAAAATCTTGAAAAAAATTTCAGAATGCAGTTGAACCTCTTTGAGTCGAATTTTCAAGGGTCCAGCAAAAAAGAAAAAATACGAGTTAGGGAAACAAGCATTTCTTGTTGTTGGAAAAAAATAGAAGAATTGCACAAAGTTGTAAATGGTGATTTTTTTAGCATTAAATTGTTTCTTGGATGAGTTGATGGGATGCTGAAGTTCGCGGCAAGGGTTCATTTGCCACATTAGTCCTTCACTTTTTTTTTGTGAAAACGCGTTAAATTTCTTTTTTATAGATCTTATCTTTTCTTTGTCAAGAGTTTGATAGCCAAAGGCATCAGGTGATTCGATTTATGGAGGTTTGAGAGGAAAAGCCTTTTGAGTTTGAGAGGTTTTTAGTGCATTGTTTCTAAGGGAATTCAGACCGGGACTCGAAAAAAAATCATCTTGGGAAGGTTCGAGTTATGGAGGTTCAACTGTATATTGAAAATATTGATAATAGGCTTCATTCATATACTGTGCATATATTTTTGTGTGGTTTTTTCTTATTTTGATCTCTTTTTTTCCGAGCTTTGCTTCTTTTGTGCAGAATCTTTTAAATTTTCTAAAAAAAAAAAATATTGCGCCGTCTTTCACTCAAATATTTTTTTATTCGTAAAATAAACTGTAGCAGAATGTTTAGACCCACTTTTAGTATTTTTCAGGATGATTCACGTGGTACTGGAAACCTAAGAACCGTGAAAACAGTACTTGAGGATATTGTACTACCTCAGTTAATGGACTGATACGTTCCGGTGGGCAGTCTACTAACCGAGTAATATAAAGCTCGAAAAAACTATACTTACTATAGTTTTTTGTGTTTAAAACTCGTTGATACGTTCACGTTTTTGTGTGTGTACTGTCAATTATTTTAACGCGTGAATCACTCTGAATGAGTCCTCCAGCATGAAAGGCTTTATATTCGATCGTTTGCAATTTAGATTAAAATTTGGAACATCGTGAGAGATTTGATTGTATATTTCTCGCATTAATTACGACGAAAAGTCGGTGTAGAAGTTCAGATTCTGTTCTTGTTGAATCCTTCATTCTTCAGACGGATTTTTTTTTATCGAAGTGCAAAACGGATTTTTTACACTTGATAGATTGAACGTTTGCTGAAAATAGGTTTTGAAAAGAAAGTTGACTGTGTTTTTTTACGGGAATACGGAGCTGTATTTTATTACATGCCTTCGTTATTTATGAAGGAGTCTATTTCTTGCTTAAATTTTGTATTTTTGACAGTATGTTGCGTTAAGGTATAACCTGTTTTTTTTTATGTGCCTCTGGTTTAATTTTTTTTTTTTCGTTTGAAGCCTTCTGGCACATTTTGCACGTGTCTATTTTTTTTTCTTTTGGATTGCGCATCGCACCGAATCTATTTTTAGCGTTGAAGTGTTTAATCTTATCAGTTGAGAGCGTATTTCTGTTAAACCTTGTCTGCTGGTTTATCTCTCGGATTTCCGTACGGATTCACGGCATCATTTACGTCCTTCAATGATGAAAATTTGGAACAAAATCGGCGAGAGCATATACAGTACCATACCGATATTTATTGAGGGTTTTTGTCTGTCGTTGTTTAATGCTGTACAGATATTATTCGTATGATACTTGAAAAATGTAGCTTGTAATTTTCATCGCCTCTATGTCTGCTTGAGAAAAAAAATGATGCAAGCTAATCATGCCGAAGAAATTCATGAAATTTTAATCATTTTTAAATTTGAAATTAGTTTTTGTTTCCTTTTGCTGATCCCTTGAATTTTGACTTTATTTTTAATTTTTAGATACTGGTCTCCATCTTGTCATTTTTGTAAAAGTTGTACATTTCGCGGAATGATGGATTCTTTTCTCACGATAATAACACTTTTACTTATTGCAGGTGGACCCAGCTTAGGATAGCCATGGTGCCCACGACGATATTGCTGGAGCCCCTGCAAGAATGTGTGGTGCTGGGGTTGTGCACGGCCTGGGCCGGGCACGCCCTGTTCCACTGGGACCCGCTCGTGTTCTTCCTGGTCCACTCCTTGTCCTGGTTCCTGCTCGACTACTGCCTCCTCACGTCCGTCAACGGAGACTGGCTCACCTTTTCCAAGTCCGAGTTCCTGCTTGCCTGGCTGTTTCGCGAATTCGACGCGTTCCGCCAATTCCTTCAGGCCTTCGTGGATCCCGTGATCCGGTGGCGGTCCGGCGCCTATCGGCTCAACTGGGGCGGCGTTATTCGGGAGACGCCGGTGGCCGTGGCTCAGTTATCGTCGCCGGCGCCGCTTGGGACCAAGGTCGCCTTGGCCGTGCCGAAAAAGCGGCGTCCGCCTTCGTCCGCGTGTGCCTCGTATCCGACGTCGTCGTATGGGCGGCCGCCGTTGCAACCCCTTGACCACGGGGCGCCGTGGTAAAAGAAAAAAAAAAACACGTATTAAGATTCACCTCGTCACGTTGATCGGAATTTTTAGTACAGTACATTTCAGTACTCGATCAAGAGCCCTATGTAGGATTTTTTTTCAATTTTTAGGTTTGAATTTAGGTCTCGGTTTTTTTTGGAAAAAATAGGCTGCGATTCCATTTGTGACTTTGTAACCTTTTCAATCTCTCTCTCACGAAAAATGATTCCGTGTTTCCCTAAAAAAAATTGATGCTCATATTCAGCTGTTGGATAAATAAATTTTTATTATTCCTACCCCGTATATACTCAAAATATTTGCAGTTGAACCTCCTCAAGTCGAATTTTGATTAGAATTATTTTTGTTTTCAAGTCCCCGTCTGAATTTCCTTGGAAATAATGCATTAAAAACCTCTCTAAGTTGAAGGCATTTCCTCCCAAACTGCCATGAATCGAATTTTCAGCTGCCCTTCGGCTAGTATTCTCTAGACGCAGGAGGAAAGCAACTTGATGGGTTTTAAAAGGAAATTAATTGGGCAATTGAACCCTTGCATTCAAGTTTGGCATCCATTCAAGTCATATGCGAAGTAATTCAAGGCCCAGAATATCACCGTTTATAATTTCATGAAATTCTTCTATCTTTTCCACAACAAAAAATGTTTGTCCCCTGACTTTTTTTTTTTTTGCTAGTCCTTTGAAATTTGACCGAGGTTTGACTGTAAATGGTCTTCAGTTAGAATTAGAGAAAAATGAGCAATCCCAGAAATAAGTTCGTTTTCAAATCTGTTAGCAGTGAATGTAAAAATTGGAGAAAATCTACCGTCCTGTAAATTTCATTGCGAAAATATATTGTGTAACTCAATATTTTCAAATGCAGTAAGAGCTTCGAAATTTGGAGGAAGGTGAACGCTTTTTAGGAACTCCATTAAATATGCCCTAGGCAAGATCAGTGAATTTGAGATGATAACTATTTGAAATTATTAATTCATAGACAGAGGAATTGATGAAATATCTTTGATTGGGAATTTTATTAAATGAGTGGGAATAGCGGAAAATGTTGTTTAAAGAAAAGACAAAATGCTCCAAAGTTTGTTCTCAAATAGGGAATTATTCATTGTCTTGAAAAATTAGGTGTGGACTTTAAATGGAGGATGGGAAATCATTCATGAAACTTTTGAAGGTTCAATAAGAATTGAAGTAAAAACTACCCCGGATAAAAGTTGTGAAGCAAGTTCTGCAGTTAGAATCAACACGAGACCCAGTCTTATTTTCATTCAATTTTTCTTGAAACACGGTTATAGTTAACAGTTTAAAAGTATACACGTGAATACGATTTTCTTGAACTATTCGTTTCCGCTTTTGTTGTTGCTGTTGTTGCATCAATGAAGAACTTAATCAAGCTTTCATCGAATTGAGAAAAAAAAATCACTGGAAAGGTTACATTGTGATGCTGTTGATAGAAAAAGGCGGCTCAAAAAGAAAGGGGGAGGAAATGGAGACATCATTATGGACAAAAGCCTATGACTTAGTGAGGAATATTATTGTAAGTCCTGTGTCAAAGGTTTTTTTTTTCTGGTCCCTATCCCCCTCAGAAAACCACAGCGTTTTGCCAACATGAATCGCTCAAAGTGTGAATGGGTTTTTTCCCCAATTTCGTTTTTTTTTGGAGTTGATGGTAGTATTATCAACTGGTGTTGCTGCCGATTAAAGCGGGTATGCCCAGTGGCATTGTGTTGACAAACTTGAGCTTCCAGTGGTGATCCCTGTTTGACCCCGCCGCAAAAAAATAGGGCCTTTCATTCCCAGGCACCATTAAGAGGGCTGCAG